AAAAAAAAAAAAAAGAAAAAGGACTAACCCCCTTCTTGCTAGCACAATAGCTTTTGTTGGCACATATGGTGGAGTTCCAAGATCTGTAACCATTTTTCATAAAAGATTTTTCTGCTGCCCAAGTTCATACATTACGCTACAGTAGCTCTGAATGGTGTTGCTTATTTTCTTCAAAGCACTGGCCAATTGTTTCTTCAGAGACCTTAGATCCTTTCAAGAAAAAAAGTGATAATTCAAAGAGGCTTGAATTGCGACGATAGCTTTAATTGCCATCCACCGTCCTCTCCGGGACGGGAGCAGGCAGAAGTGGCCGGGGGTAGGGGATCCGGGCGGGTCAGGGTGACACGGGGCTCGCGGGACACACTGGGGCAGAGGAAAGCTTGGGGGGGTTAGGGCTGCACTTTTGCAGCAATGTGGCCCCCGACTGAATTCCCCCCCTGCAAGAGCTCCCTGCAAGGCGGTTCAAGGGCCAAATCTGCTCCCCCTGGCTGCAGTGTGTCGGGAGCTGTGAGGATCTCTCTACACACGCCCAAGAGATCCCTTCGCCCAAGGCGCCCAACTTTTCTCCGGGGACGGGCAAGGCAGGGAGCCGGAGCCGGAGCATTGTGTGCATCGGCCGGAAGGTGCCGTTTGCTCCGGTTCGCTTTGCTGGCTGTGGGGCGGCTGTGGGAAAGCGCAGTCCCATCCCCAGAGGTTGCTCCTGGGGCTGGCGGAGGGACGAGATCAATGCACCGGCCCCTGTGTCGCTGCCGCAGGCTCTGCACGCCTGCGGGGCGTTGTACAAACTCGCTTGTGACACAGTCCTGCCTGGCGAAGCAGCCAGACCCTCAGTGCCCCGAGATAAGAAGTGCCGCTTGAAAGTGCACGCCGGCAGGCTGCTGGCCGGGCGTGGAGGGGCTGCAGTGGGTGTAGGAGCCGGGCGGTGGGGCTCCCCACGGCGGGGACGGCAGCTGCGGACGGGGCTGGAGTTTGCTCGCGACCCCTTCTCCTGCTAAATCAGCGCAGTTGTTCCCTCGGCCGCTTTTGCGGAAATGTTTAAGGTCTGGGGGTGGCTGGGGATTTTTTCTTCTTGCCAGGTTTACAAGGAGGTAAATTTGTTCCCCAAAAGATTAGGGGGCGGTTAAATGAGTCGCTCGAACTATAAAGACACTGTCGTTCTCTTCCTTTCCTAGCACCTCTCTCCCCAGCCTGCCCACGCCTGACCAGCGTGGCATCGCCGTCCACGCTCCCATCAGCTGA